TTTTATATGTATTATATACTATATTATATATTATATTAAATATGATTCATAATTATGTATTTATAATTTATAAATTTTATTTATGTATAGATTTATATTATTAAATAATATTATTTCTAAGACATAATACAGAGATGAGTGCCTGGCTGGTAGAACATGAACTCTTGATCTTGGGGTTGTAAGTTAGAGCCCCATGTTGGGTATAGGGATTATTTTAAAAAAAGAAAAAAGAGGGGCACCTGGGTGGCTCAGTTAGTTGAGCTTTCTACTCTTGGTTTTGACTTAGGTCATGATCTCAGGGTTATGAGGTCAAATCCCATGGTGGGCTCTGCACTCAGCAAGGGGTCTGCTGAGATTCTCTCTCCCCCTTTGTCCTTCCCCCTGCTCCTGCTCTCTCTTACTTTCTCACTAAAATAAAGAAAAATAAATAATACAGAGAGATCTTGTGTACATTTTACCTACTCTACCCACATCTTGCCAAACCAAGATATCAATATTAATCTTCCCTAGTTTAGGAAGGAGAGAAGGGCAGTAGGAGAAGAAACAAGAAAGAAGCAGTACTAATCTTTTGTCTGTAGAAACTCTGCTTTATGGGCAGGTGTCAAGAACATTGGCTCATGTTCTCAGGGAATATTATCCTGCTCTTGGTTCAAACAATGAGAACGTTGGTCTTATTCTCTTTCTCCTATATGTATTTTTTACCCTAACACTTAGAAAATGTTTGTAAAATACTTTAAATCCTTTCCAATATCATATAAATATGAGATGTCTGGAAGGATTACCTGGGGGCTTGAAGGGAAAATATCCATCTCACTGTTCTAAATATTCTAAATATGTGATTTCAAGGAAAGACACCCTTTGTTAGCTAAATGAGTAATGAGGGTCAAGGAGGGGATATTAATCTGAATAGATCTAAACATAAGCTCACCCAGGACTTTGAAGGTTATCACCATGGTCTGGATCTGGACCAGTGTTTCCGACATCAGAAACGAGATGCCTAGAAATGCAGAGAGAGACATCCAAAGCCCAGGTGATCCTTGGCCTCTTTGACAGGGGATGCTCTGTCCTTCTAGCCCCAGCATTGAAAAGAGGGTTCCCAAACAACCTCCAGGTACTCAGATTTTCAATTTAATCCTAGTGTGTTAAATGTTGACATCCAAGGGGCTCGGGCACAGGCCTGGGTAATGATAGGGCCCATGAAGATGGCCCATCTAGATCCCTTGCTTCAGGGTCTCCCTGGTGTCTTTAAATCTCCATTCACTTCACCTCTAGCTCGCTCCTACGACCCCACTCAGGGTCGCCCTGACCTTACAAATGTCATTCTGTTCAATCCTACAGTCTTCCCTCTCCTCTCATGTACCTAGGCAGCAAAGCCCTCGTCTGTTGGCTTTCTGCAGGCTTAGGTCTTCTCTGCACTTGGGCAGACCAGCTGGGACAGCTTCTCTCCCTCGCAGCAACTTACTGGAGGCTGCAGGGCTCAGTGTGGTCATCATCAGCCCATGTACCCATTTGTCCCAAGAAGCAATAAGTAGTGGTCTCACCTGTTACATTGCTGCCCCCCAACAAGGCCTCCCTGATTCTGAGCCGGAGAGAGTGAGAGTCCAATACCTGCACCAGCTTTACCACCACCTGCCCCTTGCAGTCATTGGCTCCCCTTGGTTCAGCCTCACACTCCTGCAGCCACAGGGAGAAGTCACAACTGACACTTACCTTCCAGTCATGTGTACAGAGATGGGAGGAGAAGTTTCCAGAAGAAAGGGATGCTGGGCCCCAATCCCACTGGAGTGCAAATCTCGACTACTGCAATGACTCGGGCTAGAGACGGTGGGCTCAGACCAGAATGGGCTCAGAGCAGGATGGTGACAGTGACAGTGGACGTGATCAGAAGTGGTTAAATTCAGGTTTGTTTTTTTTTAAATTCTGGATTTTTTTTTTTTTTTAAGATTTTATTTATTTATTTGACAGACAGAGATCACAAGTAGGCAGAGAGGCAGGCAGAGAGAGAGGAGGAAGCAGGCTCCCCGCTGAGCAGAAGCCCGATGCGGGGCTCGATCCCAGGACCCTGGGATCATGACCTGAGCCGAAGGCAGAGACTTTAACCCACTGAGCCACCCAGGCGCCCCTAATTCTGGATTTTTAAAAAAGAACCCATTAATTTATTTAGAGAGAGCATGTAATTGGGGGTTCAGCAGAAGTAGAGGGAGAGAACCCCAAACAGACTCTGCACTGAGCACAGAGCCCACTGGGGTGCTTGGTCTCATGACCCTGAGATCATGACCTAAGCCAAAAATCCAGAGTCTGACGCCCAGCTGACTGAGCCACCCAGGCGCCCCTGGATGTGTTTTTAAAGTAGGACCAACAGGGGCACCTGAGTGGCTCAGTGGGTTAAGCCTCTGCCTTCGGCTCAGGTCATGATCTCAGGGTCCTGGGATCAAGCCCCACATCGGGCTCTCTGCTCGGCACCTGCTTTCCGCCGCCCCCCACCACCGCCTGCCTGTCTGCGTACTTGTGATCTCTGTCAAATAAATAAATAAAATCTTTAAAGTAGAGCCAATAGGATTTCTTGATGGATTGGATATGGGATGTGAAAGACAACAGGGGTTCAATTCGACCCTGCAGTCTCAAACCACAGTTCTTGTCTCATTTTAAATCCCGCTCATCTGAATCTCTGCTGTTCTCAGACATCGCAGCACCCTCTTGTTCCCGAGGATCAGTGTCCCACTCCAGACTGCAATTATCTTGTCATCTTCAGCTTTCTCTCTGCGTGCCCCTCAGGTAGTGTTTTAGGTCTCACAGAAGTGACCCCTGTTTGATGTTCTTTTAGCGTAGCTGGGCCTGAAGATCACGTTAACCATGTGGCAGTGAACACTGCTTAACTTCTCTTTGAAATAAAACACAAAGGACCAGTGGCCTTCTTTGCCAGCTGTCCAGCTTACAGCTTTTTCAAGGAGAGTGATTGACCGCTTATAACCGGTTTTACACCTGGAGGTCTCAATTCTGTCACCCATCAGTGAGTGACAGTCACATTATTGAGATTTCATTTCCCTGTCTATAAAAACTGGGTGACTCAGCTTGAGATGAGAACTAAACAAGGGAGATAATGGATATATTTAAGTATTTACTATATCTCAAGATCTTTTGATATATATCTATAATTCTATGTAAGCCCTATATTAAGCTCTTTTTACATAGCTGTCTCATTTGATCCTTATAAAGTAGGTGCCATTATTACTTCATATCACAGATGAAGAAACTGAAGCTTAAGTAGATTATGTGACTTGAGCAAGGTCACACAAGTGGCACACGGTGAACCTGGCCAATCCAGCTCTGTTGGATGCCAGACTCCTCTCTTAACCACTTCACTCACATTTCCTCTGGTGTCATCGGTGCGTCATCTGGATGTGCCTGTTATGCACAGATGCCCAGATCCATCCCTCACTCAGACCCTCTGAGTGAGACTCTGAGGCTGGGCTGGGAAATCTGTGCTTAACCAGAGCTCCAGGTGACTAATTCCTGAGAGGCCTGAAACATGGCAATGACTGTATCTCCTTCCATTGCTTCTGAGTAATGGTAACGCCTTCTGCTGGTGTGTGTATATAGTCCTGACAAAGCCTCAAAGCCAGGGTCATATGCAGGAACCTTAATTCTAGGATTTCATGCATACAAACCCCATCGGATAGTTCTCATGGGGCAGCAACTCTCTGTGCCTTCAAGAGCGTTAATGCAGCCCTGTAATAAACCAGGTAATGGTCAGGATTCATTTGTAGCTGCTCTCCAGACTAGTTCATTTAAGCAGAAAGGGATTTCTCCTAGAAAAATAGGATATTAAGCCATTATAATGTATTTGGCAGGGCTGAAAAATATGGTAGCTGGATTGAGCATCCAAACATGAATCCCGAAATCACAGCTGAGCCTCAGAAGTGATTGCTCTTGCCATGAGCAGGAGGCTGCTTGAAAAGTGGCATGAGGGGCATGGAGAATCAAGGGACCCTAGGTTTGGGAAGTGAGCAGAAGTGAAGTCCCTGGGGGTGATCAGCAAGGAACAGCTGGGGGAACTCAGGCACAGAAACAGAAGCCAGGGATGTCAGAAGTTCCAGAACCCGGGAGTGGCCAACATTATAAAACACAGTAAGAGGGCCAGTGGACAGGGAGCTGGTGGGAGGCGAGGCTAGCAAGTACTGTTGACCTTGACAACCTGGTGACCTTTGCTAGATCTGTTAGTGAGCTCTACCAGCAGTTTCAGGGGTTTGGTGAGGAAAGAAACCAGATGGGTGGGATAAAGGACAAATGGAAAAGGAGCGAATGGAAGCAGAAGTGCAGCATGAACACGGTTTTGAAAAGGTACATTGAAATGGAAAGGAGATATGATTTATGGCTAGAGATGATCTTGGAGTGTAGGGTTTTTTATTTGCTATTGTTTGTTTTAGGTCCAGAGAAACTTGAGCATAGTGATAGCAGAGCCATTTGAAAGAGAAGTTACTTAATGGGTCAGTGTTCTGAAGGTCAGAGAGGGAAGGGGTCAGGGCCTCGATGGAGGATTGGCCTGGAGTGCAGGAGCAACAGCTCATCTTGCCGCTAGAGGAAAGGAGGTGACAACAGCTACAGATACAGGTGCATTCCCAGCATGGGGGGAGTGCAGGAGCCATACTCATGGCCGAAATTATGTTCCAGATTTTCTTCTCAAAGCAGATGAGGTCATCTGCTGAGAAGGAAGACACCAGCCACTGAGTGTGGAACTTGGAGGAGTTAGAGGTTTAGAACAGCAGCTGCTAAGGACAGGTGAAGTGTTGTCAGTCAAGGATAGCATCAGCCCAGATAAAACTGAGCATTGTGAATTCTAAGTGGGGCAAACTGCCAAAATAACATGTGATTTAGTAGTTCACATCCTTGGACCAGGAGTGGAGAGGCGAGTCACAGGACTACTTCAAGGCTAGTGGGGGCTGCTGGACTCCATGCCTTTCTCTCTTTACTGAATGTGCTCTTTCCTGTTCGGGTGTCAGGTGCCTCAGTCAGGAACCCTCAAGCTGTCCCACTTACAAGAGGGAACATACACCTTTCAGCTCACGGTGATGGACACCGCCGGGCAGAGAAGCTCCGACAACGTCTCAGTGACAGTGCTCCCGGTGGCCTTCTCCACGGGAGGTGAGAGGAAGGTCCTTCCCTTGCATTCACAGTGGCCAACCGACGCCAGCTCTTCATGGGAGGATGGTATTACACTGGCATTTGATATTCTGACTGCATTTCATGGGCTCTACCATTCTTTTTTTTTTTTTTTTTTTTTTTTTTAAGTAGACTCCATGTCCAGCATGGAGCTCAACCCAGGGCTTGAACTCATACACGGAGATCAAGACCTGAGCTGAGATCCAGAGTCGGTCGCTTAACCAATAGAGCCACCCAGGCACCCCCTTCCATTCTATTTTTGGTTGTTGTTAAATAAGAGTCTCCTCTAAAGCTGTGACAAAAATAGGCTCCATTACATTTGGGCACTGCTAGGTTGGGGTAGTGGAGGCTCCGGGGACAAGAGTAGACTGTGTGAACCACAGGGCCCTCTAGATTCATCTTGCCTGACTTGCTTTCACAAAAAACAATCGTGGTTTTTCCCAGAGAGAATGTTGTTTAAAGGTGAGCAGTCTGTATGATATGTATGTTCAGAGAGTTCAGCTAAGAAGCGTATTTAAAACAAATTAAAATTAAAGATTTTAATAGTCCTTTTAAATTGTGTATGTCAATTTAAAAGGACTATTTAAAATTTTTCGATACACTAATAATATAGCTTTACATGTATGTGATGGGTCTCATACTCTGGTGCACAACATAAACTCACTCTTCTCATTTATCTATGTTTCTTACTTTCCCCAACATCTATGTTTCTAAGATTAGCTCATCAAGTTTAAGAAATATATGTATGGAACTTGAGAGCATTAAAGAAGAGGTATTGCAGAGGGAAACCCCCCACAACTCCCTACTGGAGAAATGCACAGATAAGTGTGTATCTGAGGGTCTTGTCCTTTGGTCCGCAGCTACTCTCGGTGTCTGCAGGAACACAGGATGTGCGGGGCTGTGCTAGGCCCTGGGCGGATGGAGGCATGCTCCATAGACCTGGCCCTGGACCCTCCCCCACGTAGTGAGCCTTCATGGTCACTAGCCACGGCTCTAGTAAACCCACAGCATGTCTTTGCCATCCCTGATTACTCAGTAATTAGATGGTAATTAAGCCAGCAATTGGAATAGGGGTAAAAAGATTGGAAAATGACTGTATGTCACCAATCTTGTCTTCCATCTCACAGAGGTCAGAATGCGTACTGGAAACAAAGCAAGATTTTAGAATCCTGAGAACTTGGCAGCCTTAATCATTTGCCTTCCACAGGGACAGGAGCAAAAGTAGCATCCTGAATCTGGCTGGCTGACTCCCCATCCAGCCCAGGTTCCAGTGTCCCTGGAGGAAGGAGGGTGACTGCCTGGGGACTGCCATGGCACCAAGCTCCTAGCCACTGCCGCCCTCTGAAGCCATGATGGCAAGTACGAGGAGCTTCCGGGTCAGGAATCCGAGCCAGCCCGGATGCCAGCTAGGTCACTGACTTAGTGCAGCTGCAAAGGAGAGCTCGACAATTACTCAGAATGTTTTTGAGGGGCACCTGGCTGGCTCAGTTGGAAGACTGTGTGACTCTTAATCTCGGAGTCATGGGTTTGAGCTCCACATTGGGTAGAGCAATTACTTAAAAAAATAAATAAATAAACTCTGAAAAATGAAAACATTTTTGGGTACCTTGGCATGCTAGGCTTGCAGCAGGGCCATTGGAAACACGGCCTCAGCTCTGGCCACTCACTCCCTGTGGAGGACCGCAGAACCCAGGTGCTATCATCCTGGGATCCAGGGTCACCTGCATAGAGAGTGAGTCAAGAGCTCACAGGAGGAAGGCAGGAATACCCCACTCTTCCTACAGAAGTTGGAAAGGGATTGCTTCTGTACAACCAAGGTGCCTGGGAGGGAGAAAGGGATACAAGCACAGGTCCCAAGCGATGACCAACGCTGCACCAGCCTGGCATTTGCCTGGCTTATTTGCTCAGACCAATTTCCCAGGGCTCCAAAGGTAAATTACCAGTTGTCCATTTCTGGCCTTTCTCTGAGATGATAATAAAATGTATTTGAAGTGGCAGAAAGTTACATGAATCACTTTTGGTTACTGAAAGGCCACTTGGATATAGGTCTTATGTATGTAGCTTTATATAGAAAATAAAAAAGAATGGCTGTGTTATTAACTGCTATCTGGAATTGCTCTCCCGCTAGACTGAAGTGACATACTATGAACTAAAGTGAAAAAACACCACATAGAGACACTGAAAACCAGAGTGTGGATAGAGAGGTGTTTCTCTCCCCTCTGTTATATACGTAGTGGCCTTGCAGTTAATAATCCAGTTGTAATGATAACCAAGGGAGCACCTTCTGGGGGAAACAGACAAGCATGTACCCCTGCTTATGTGATAATAATGTGATTGACTTTGGATATAGAGGCTGCATGTTTTCAAGCTTGGGGGTAAATCATATCTTCAAATGCCAAGCCAAAAAACACCTCCAGTATGATCTAGTTTAGTGGTCTCCAAAGAGGATCCCCCAGGGATAGACATCTTTAGGATGGAGAAGAAGACACCTGAATTTATATTTTTAGTAATTTTTAATCTTCTCCTTTAAATTTTTAGTATTTTTATAATGTGTTTAATATGTTAGTATAGTAGTATATGCATATTATTTCTAGATGGAGATATGTATTTACTAATATGTATAATATATAATACTATATGTATTGATCAGATGGGCGGTCAAAAAAAACAACTAGAGACCACTAATCTAGAAATGAATGGATAAGTTACAAATACCAATCTATCTCCCAGACTACAAATGAATAAGTAAAACCTTGAGATATTTGGGATTTTCATGTCATGATCTTAACAATGTGAGCAGTAGCTATATCCTGCTTGGTATTCAGGGTAACCTAGTTCCCCTTCACTTTTTTTCTAAGCTCCTTTCCTGAAACAGAAGGAATTTCCCCCCTTCTGGGCTGAAATCCTTGGTCATAACTGAAGCTCTTTGCTTCCTTTTCTTTCTCAGGAGCTTCTACACCATTTCTTCTCTTCTTCCTTCTGGGTCAAGGTATTTTCAAACTGCCTTGTACCCAGAGGGACTCCTTTCCCAGGCCCCAATTTAACTGCCTTCCAAAGTAATATGTATCCAGGATTTCACCTGGGCTCAACCATTTGTTTCAGTAGAATATCATCTACTACGCTCTCATGTCCTGAGAGAATTGTCTAGCTCCTCCTGTACCCGGGAAATTATGAAGTTCCATTAGAGCTACTTCTAGCCTGATAACTTTTAGTCTGCATTAACCAGAGTAAAAGTTGTCCTGCAGTTGTTGTATAGCTAAGTCTGGCAAAGTTGGCTTAATCTGGAGCGGGGGAATGTCTTTAAAGAAAATACAGGTAACTCCCATGGATCACACTGTAGATTAAAAACTCCTAACAGCTCCACAAGGGAGGCAATTTTTTGGACAATTTTTTGGAGACCGCTTGTCCTTATTTAAGGAAAACAAATTTGTACCAGCTAGTAACTAAAGATCTTGATTATTCTTGAGAGCACCAAGGATATATGGTAGTCAACAGAGTTCACTAGTAGAAAGTTAATCTCAGCAAAAATTATTACTTAGGAAACAAGACGAGACATAGCATGTGTAAAATGGTGTCTCTAATTAAGCTGGCTAGGTGAGAGCATTAGGAGGCCCCCAGAGATGATGGGATGAACGAAGGAATGCAGAGGGAGAGCTGGGAGGGAGCAAAGCCAGGGCTGTCTGGAGAAGCCCAGAGCGGCTACTCCTCTGCTTGCACCTCTGCGGCACTGTTGCCTGGAGAATGGCGCTGAGACAAGAGCCCATGGTGGTGCCTCAGAACATAGCCAGGAGGTCAAGGAGATACCCTTCACTACCTAGAAACCTGTTGCTCCAGCTCACACTGTTACGTGGCTCCCCATTATTTGCATCTCTAGACCCCAAAGCATTTCACTGTACATTTAGTCTTTGTGAATCAAAACACAGAACACGATGAAGTGCTGACTGTTCCCACATTCCTGTAACATGAGACTGTTTGTAAACAGGATGCCTGAAGGTTTGCTCACGCTACCACTTCTTTTGTGACGATGGCTGTTGCATTGACATCACGCTGGCTTGTGATGGAGTGGAGCAGTGTCCTGATGGGTCTGATGAGGCTTTCTGCCAAAATTGTGAGTCAGCTGCATGGCCTTTTCAGGCAGCGGGAGAGAAGGGATGTCTGTATTCTTATAATAAAATGCAAACTCACTATTGCTCTTTTTCTACCCAGTTTCAGGTATAACTTCATGTGAATAAGCTAGGCCTTAAATTAAATGAGCATTTAGTAGGAGTCTTAATCTGGGTTCTAAATGTCAAACCTTTTATATTGCTTACCTTTTTCAAAAATTGCTTTCAGTTTTCTAAAAGATTCTTCCCCATCCTAAAAAATTTGTGTAGAATATGGTTTTTAGGGGCACCTGGGTGGCTCAGTCATTAAGTGTTTGCCTTCGGCTCAGGTCATGATCCCAGGGTCCTGGGATTGAGCCCCACATCGGGTTCCCTGCTCAGCAGGAAGCCTCCTTCTCCCTCTCCCACTCCCCCTGCTTGTGTTCCCTCTCTCACTGTCTCTCTTTCTCTGTCAAATAAATAAATAAATAAAATCTTTTTAAAAAGATTATGGTTTTTTAAAAAACTAAGGTGAGTTGGGGTACCTGGGTGGCTCAGGGGGTTAAGCCTCTGCCTTCAGCTCAGGCCATGATCTCAGGGTCCTGGGATCGAGCCCTGCATCAGGCTCTCTACTCAGCACGAAGCCTGCTTCTCCCTCTCTCTCTGCCTGCCTCTCTGCCTACTTGTGATCTCTGTCTGTCAAATAAATAAATAAAATATTTTTTTTAAAAACTGAAGTGAGTTAGGATTTTGTTTTAATAAATTTTTTTGAAAATTTATAGTGTGCTGGGTGTGCCTAAGTCAGGACTATAAATCCATCTTATAATGTCATCTACCTACACAAAAGGATACTGCAAGAAAGAAGGAAACTTCAGAAAGTGTAATGAAGGTGCTGGTTTGAAGAAGGATGTAGAATCTCAAAACCTTAGATTTAAGCTTTGTTTTTGTTGATATATGGGTGACATTTAGAAAGTCAATTATTGGAAGAGAAGAGAAAACAATTTACCCATTGAAGAGAGAGAAGTTTTTTATGGGGCTCTGACATGCCTTAGATGATTATTATTCCCAAATACCCATGACTAAATCTACAGCAAATTTAGGGTTTTTGTTTTTTTTTTTAAGATTTATTTATTTATTTATTTGAGAGAGAGAGAGAGAGAGAGAGAGGAAGGGGGAGGTACAGAGGGAGAAGGAGGTAAGTAGACTCCCCACTGAGCTCAGAGCCCAACATGGGGCTCTATCATATGACCTTGAGATCGTGACCTGAGCTAAAACTAAGAGTCGCTCACTTTACCAATTGGGCCACCCAGGCGCCCCCACCAAATTTAGTGGTTTTAGAGTAGAAAAGAAACCCCACACCCAACAGTAGCTCTTCCATGTTCCAGTGAGCCTTGACCGGAAGACGGTGACCCACACAGCAACTGCCCAGCCTAGAGCCACAGGACCAAGCAAAGATGCAGCAGCAAGCTCCTTCTTGGAAAAGTCCCTGAAAGTCCCTGTCCAAAACCAGCCACCAGCGTTATCAAACACGGAGAAGAGGAATCATTCCATGTTTGGGGGACCAGAGAGTCAAACCAGTCCTGTGATACCAGGTAAGGACCTGAGCAGGTGCTCCACAGTCTTATTTTCTACGGTGACACTTGGCTTCAAAATTCAGGTTATATTTGGGGCACCTGGGTGGCTCAGTCAGTTAAGCCGTTGCCTTCAGCTCAGGTCATGATCCCAGGGTTCTGGAATCGAGTCCCACATCGGGCTTCTTGCTCAGTAGGGAACCTGCTTCTCTCTCTGCCTCTGCCTGCCACTCTGCCTACTTGTGCTCTCTCTCTCTCTCTTTGACAAATAAATAAATAAAATCTTAAAAAAAATTACAGTTATATTTGATGAGTGTTTAGGAAATACAAGAAAGAAGAGAGTTAAAATGAAGAATTTGGCCAAAAAGGAAAAAAAAATCTATTTGCACTGGTTATATATAGTAAGGAACACCTACTAAATACATTCATACATTCATGCATACTCCGGAGAGACCAGCACATTTATTAGTAAATAAGCTAGAATTAGGAAATTTCAACACCTGTATTAAGGAAACAAATGCCCTAAGTGTTAAATTTTAGGTTATTTTGAGATGAAACAGCATAACCCCTATGCATCCATGTAATTCCTCTTCACACTAAGCAAGTGAAGGTAATGAAAATATATGTCACATGGAAATGGTTGCATGTGGCAGCAATTCAGTGTTTTGTCCCCAATTTAACTAAATCTGTAATTTTTTGTATTTTCTAATAAGGCTAATAAGAATTTTAAATATAGGGACGCCTGGGTGGCCCAGTTGGTTAAGCGGCTGCCTTCGGCTCAGGTCATGATCCCAGCATCCTAGGATTGAGTCCCGCATCGGGCTCCTTGCTCATCAGGGAGCCTGCTTCTCCCTCTGCCTCTGCCTGCCACTCTGTCTGCCTGTGCTCAAGCTCTCTCTCTCTCTCTCTAACAAATAAATAAATAAAATCTTTTAAAAAAATTTAAAAAAAAAGAATTTTAAATATATTCATACCGCTGAAGGATTAGCATTCTATCATCTTAAATTTAGTTTTGCACGTTTGTATTTGTTGATGACATAGACAGAAATATAGAAGATCACATTTCTGTACGCATTTGTAAATGTCTTCTCAGTACTCCCAATTCTGCCTACATTATATGAAAATATTCCGTCACTATTTTAAGAACTTCTTGATGAAAATTTTTTGTTCGTTGCAGATGATGCAAATAATAAAAAATAAAAATGACTTGAAATACCACCCTTTACTAAAAACAACTTTTAATATTTGGGGATATTTCTTTCCCATCTTTTGTTTATCTACTATTTGTTTACTTATTTATTTTGGGGGGCACTTCTAATTTATTTTGTTTTTTCAATATTCCGAGATTCATTGTTTATGCATAAGAGCATCTACACAAAACCTTCCACTTTGGGCTTAGATTTAGGTGCTTTCGGTGCCCCTGCGTTGGGTCTCTCCCTTGTTGGTACTGCCACCTGCTGGGCAAATCAGTCAGTCCAGACAAGCCTTGTAGTCCCTTTTCCCAGAATGGAAGGTATGAATGGAGAAGACACAACCCCCCCCCCCTCCCCACTCCGCCGACCCCTGACCCCCAACCACGAGGCCAAAGTCAGGGGAGACTTGTGCTCTGGGCAGCAGGGAAGAGCTGAAGAGCTGGCGGATAGGACAGAGGAGTTCTCACAGGGTCTCTGTGGTAGAGAGTCTCACATGGGTGTGAGTGGATTAGCTGAAGACAGAGAGGAGACCAAAGCCCATGTCTCCTTAATTTGGGTCTAGTCTTGGCTTGGCCTTTAGAAACTTGAGCAAGCTGCTTCATACTCTGGGCCTGTCTCCTCACCAGTCAGTAAGCGATTTCAAGCAGACAACCTCTAAGCCCCCACAGCCCTGAGAGAGCTTCGGGAATGATCCATAGCCTGATGCTTGTACTGGTATCCAGGCCAGAGTGCTCCCCGATCCCAGCGCTGTCTCCTGGTCAGTGAGCACTCAGCCTCAGAATTTCTTTGAAATTTCTTTGAAAACAGTGCTCCAGGCTACACCACCACTGGATGGGAGCCGGCACTCAGTTTGAAAAGAATTTGCAGTCTCTGTGTTGTCCTTTTTTGATAATAAGCCTCTGACTTTGGTTATAAAGATGTAAGGAATGGAGTTTCACAGATGCAGAGAGATTAAATGTCCAGTTACTATATTATACATTATATTATAATATAATAACATATTTATAATATGTATTGTTCTTCCTAACTATTAAATACATATTTACTGTAGAAAATTTGAAAACTACAGAAAAATATAAAGAAAAAATTAAAACCATCTAGCAAAACTCACCGTTAACATTTTGTTACATTTTTTTCTGGTCACTTCAATTTATGCACATACGTACACACTTTTTTTTTTTTAAGATTTTATTTATTCATTTCACAGAGAGATAGAGCGCAAGTAAGGGAACAGGAGGCAGAGGGAAAGGGAGAAGCAGGTTCTCCTACCAAGCAAGGAGCCTGATGCGGGGCTCAATCCCAAGACCCTGGGATCACGATCTGAGCTGAAGGCAGCCGCTTAACCCACTGAGCCACCCAGGTGCCCCGTATGCACATTTATTCACTTTTTTAATATAATTAATACATTAATTGTATTAATTATATTAAAAATTAATATATAATATATAATTTTAATTATATAATATATATAGTAATTATTAATATATAATAATTATGTAACTATATAATATATAAATTAATATATTATATTAAACTAGTGTTCTAGTTTCAGGTGCACAATAGAGTGATTCAACAATTCTCTGCATTACTCAGTGCTCCTCATGATAAGTGTGCTCTCAATCCCCTTCACCTACTTCACCTGAACTCCTAGACCCCTCCCCTCTGCCAACCACCAGTTTGTTCTCTGTATTTAAGAATATGGTTTTTTGGCTTTGTTTCCTTTTTTTCTTTGTTTTGTTTCTTAATTTCAATGAGTGAAATCCTGGGCTCTTGGGCTGCTTCCATATCTTGGCTGTTGTAAATAATGCTGTTGTAAACAAAGGGGCTCGTGTATCTTTTTAAATTAGTGTTATGTTTTCTTTGGGTAAACACCCCTGTAGTGGAATTACTAGATCATATGGTAATTCTGTTTTTAATTTTTTGAGGTAACTCCATGTTGTTTTCCATAGTGATTTTACCAGCTCACATTGCCACCAACAGTATACAAAGATTCTTTTTTTCCCACGTCCTCATCAAAACTTGTATTCCTTGTTTTTTGTGTTCAGGTTTTGTGTTCAGGTGTGAGGCGAGAGCTCATTGTGGTTTTGATTTGCATTTCCCTGATGGTTAGTGGTGTTGAGCATCTTTTCATGTGTCTGTTGGCTATTTATATATCTTCTTTGGAAAAATGTCTTTAGATCTTCTGCCCATTTTTAATCAAAGGTTGTTTTTTGTTTCTTTGTGGGAGTTTTTTGGTGTTAGATTTATTAAGTTATTTATATATTTCGGATGTTAACCCATTACTGGATATATCATTTGCAAATATCTTCTCCCATTTAGTAGGTTGCCTTGTCATTTTATTTATTTTTTTTAAGATTTTTATTTATTTATTTGACAGACGGAGATCACAATAGGCAGAGAGGCAGGCAGAGAGAAAGGAAGAAGCAGGCTCCCCACTGAGCAGAGAGCCCGATGCGGGGCTCGATCCCAGGACCCCGGGATCATGACCCGAGCCCAAGGCAGAGGCTTTAATCCACTGAGCCACCCAGGCGCCCCTGCTTTGTCATTTTATTGATGGTTTCATTTGTTATGCAAAAGTTTTTTTACTTTGATGTAGTCCCAATATTTTAATTTTGTTTTTGTCTCCCTTGCCTGAGGAGACATATCTAGAAAAATGTTTCTACAGCTGACATTAAAGAAATCACTGCCTGTGTTTTCTTCTAGGGGTTTTATGGTTTCAGATCTCACATTTAGGTCCTTAATCCTTTTTGAGTTTATTTTTGTGTGTGGTGTTAGAAAGTGGTCTAGTTTCATTCTTTTGTATGTGTCTGTCCAGTTTTTCCAACACCATTTATTGAAAAGACTATCTTTTCCCCATTGTATATTCTTGCTTCCTTTGACCATATAGTTGTGGCTTTCGTTTTTGATTTTCTATCCTGTTCCATTGATTTATGTGTCTATTTTAATGCCAGTACCATACTGTTTTGATTGCTACAGCTTTGTAATATATCTTGAAATCTAGGATTGTGATACCTCCAACTTTGTTCTTCTTTCTCAAGATTGCTTTTGCAATCCTACAACATTGGGATTTTTTTGTGGTTCCATATAAATTTTAGGATTATTTTTTCTAGTTTTGTGGAAAATGCTATTGGTATTTTGGTAGGGATTGCCTTAAATCTGGATTGCTTTAGGTATTATAGACATTTTCACAATATTGGTTCTTCCAATCCATGAACATGGAATGTTTTTCGATTTGTTTGTATCATCAGTTTCTTTCATCAGCATTTTATAATTTTCAGACAAATCTTTCACCTCCTAGATTAAGTTTATTCCTAGATATTTTATTCTTATTGGTTCCATTGTAAATAGGATTTTTTAAAATTTTTCTTTCTTCTACTTCATTATTAATGTATAGAAATGGAACAGATTTCTGTATATTAATTTTGTATCCCACAAATTTACTTAATTCATTTATCAGTTCTGGTAGGGTTTTTTTTTTTTTGGACATTTATTCACTTTTATCAAAATTAGGAACACGTTATGTTTATGAAACTTTTATTTTTCTCAGGAGTATATTTGTGTGTTATTACATATCCCTCAAAAACAAAAACTTTTTTAAGAAACAAACACCCAGGGGCGCCTGAGTGGCTCAGTGGGTTAAAGCCTCTGCCTTTGGCTCAGGTCATGATCCCAGAGTCCTGGGATCGAGCCCCACATCGGGCTCTCTGCTCCGTGAAGAGCCTTCTTCCTTCTCTCTGCCTGCCTCTCTGCCTACTTGTGATCTCTATCTGTCAAATAAATAAATAAAATCTTAAAAAAAAAAAAAAAGAAACAAATGCCCCAAAAAAC